GTTTATTTCAAAACATTTGAGTTTAAACAAAAGGAAACCATATACATTTTTAAACATTGAAATGGATGAAATTTTAAAAATAATAATTATTACATATTCATTAACATTTATAATATTGTTAAATTTGAACATAACATCCTTGAATGAACATGACAGAACTTGCTCTTCAGTTTCTGTCAAAATCACCTGATGTCCTATAAAATATATTTTTATGTGTTAAATCGTTTGATTAATTCATTAGAAAAATCTTTGTAGAAGAAAAATAATAGTTTACCAGGAAGTTTCACGTGTTTCTTGTGAATTTTATTAGAGATAGTATTTCTGTGGATTTTGTACTTCCGAGAAGCTTCTGCAATCGACATACCACCAGCAACTGCTTGCAAACATTGTTGCAGCTTTTCTAAAGTGTAATCACGGTAGTTTCTCGTTCCAGGTATTTTTTTATAACGTCTGACCATTTTTCTGTCGAAAAAAAAAACGAATGAAACTTTGCACAAAGTAGCCCCAAAGTGCATTTTTTTTCATTTTCCGTTTATTTGTTATTAATTTTCAAATTTTTTTAACGCTAACATGATATAATTGTTTATTAATACATAAATAAAAAATTTTGCACTTACGACAAATGTTTTATCAACGTCTTTGCATTTCACAGCTAAAGTTTCCACGCGCACTTTTCGACATCCGACGTCCTCGGAAAGTTGTTGACATTGGATGAACGAAACACACTCTGAGATTGCTTTAAAATTCGAAAACATTTTTGTAGTAATAGAAGAGACTTCTATCTTCAAATTCCACACATTTTTAACGTGAAAAAAAACATAATAATGAATAGCAGCACTTGAAAAATGCCAAATTCGAATTTGCGCAAAGTAGCCCCGAATGACGGTAACATAGAGGAAACTGAGTTTTTATGTGTGAAAAAATTCAAGTAGCATTTTTGAAAATTTAAAAAATATATTTTCCAAACTGTTTATAAAGCCGAAGAAAACCATAACGTATTCTCAAACTCGAAGAGTTGAGTGTTTTCTAAATAAATGTCACTAAGTTCTTCCATAAGCTCTTTAGTTCCATCGCAGTAGTTCTACTTTGATGGTGAAGTTTTTATTTAATGAAAAAGTAATCAAAAAGTTTTATTTTATCGTGTAACTTAAGCTTCTGCTTTTTTTAAATCTAGATTGACCCATTTTCAGAATTTTTTAAGAAAAGAAAGTATTTTTATCCCAGAATTTGAGTTTAGGTTAAATGCCGTTGATATCTTTAGAAAGAAAGATGCCATGATTAGTTTTAAATAGTTTTCTTTTTCGAAATCTTATAAACCAGTACTCTCGGAAAGCGATTAAGAGTTAAAGGAATAAACATAGGACTTGTAAAACATTTTTTTTTAAAAATAATTTCAAAATATGAGATCGAGCTGAATTCAAAATCAAACACCTATAATATCTAATAAGCAATTTTGTATAAAAATGTGAGAAAATGCAAAAATTTTAAAAATACAAATATAATTTTTTATTGTAACTGTCATTAGTTACGTTATTATTATAATAAACATTATAATTATAAGTTTCAATATTATCTCTATTATATAAAATATTAATTCGAATATTGTCACAAAATAGATAAAATTTCTTTTCTCTCGTTGGTCACAAAAAGCTGAAATAATTTGAGCTATAAGTTGGGCATATTCAAAAAATGAAGGGATCAGTTTATATAAACAAACAGACTTAGTTCGATTATATGATTACTAATTGATTATATGATTACTAATTATAATTGATTACATGATTACTAATTATTACATAATTAGTTATATACATTAGTTTCGATGATAATTGACACTTGTGAGAGATGAGTCCTATGAACAGGGACTATAAATCAAAACATAATTAATTGATTGCTATACTAGGAAGTCTTAGGTTTCATAGACAGTGTGTATCACATACTTAAAAAAATCGCCCAGCAATTAATTTTATTTTATAGCCATCTTTATTATCAACAGCCTACCCAATTTCAGGTTTACGACTACTAATGTTAAACTCCATAGCCTCGTAATTTTAAACCCAATCCAGAAGACAAGGTAAATCCTGGTTTAGGTTTTTTGAAAAATAGGCCTTCGTGAAAGATTTTTTGATTGAACTAACCCGCATTTGTGTTACATGGAGAGGAAAACCACGAAAATCTATCACGGTTAGCCTAACTACAAAGGCACCAATGATTTTAAAAAACTACTACTTCCTTAACTTCTTTATATATATA